TTGGCACATGTGTTTACTTAGGAAGATGTATCTATCCAACACTAGCAATAAAACCAATTCAGCTCACAGGGAATTATTCCAGAGAGACAATGTCACCTCTTTCTCCTTCTGAAAATCAAAAGGGGGTTGGAAAAAAAAGAGAAACAAATGCAAATTGCCACTGGCAGGGTTTCATGGGGAAGGTACACAGAATGATTCAAGAGCAATCCAAGGTTTGCAGCAAATGCCTATTCATTAAACCAGTAGGAGGTGCAACGCCATCTGGCAGCCATGTCCAGGGGAAGATCTATTGCTCAGGATCACTTCGGATCAGCCAGCAAGTTTATTTTTACCCTTTTATGCACAGAACTACAAGGACATAAATGTCGGCATTAGGCATGCCAGGAAGGCTTAACGAGACTGGAAAATGAGATCCAAAACTGGGGTCCTGCCAAAGCCAGCTTTCATCGTGCTTGATGAAACAACGTCCTCCCAACGTTCAGGAATCCCAGCAAACCCCAGTGTCCCCACTGGAGACTCTTTAGGAAACCGCAAGGACTTCGGGCATATCTGGGAGGAGAGACTGCCCTGCATTCGCTGATGCCAGGAGGCTTGGTGAGGGGGACGGAACACTCCCACTGAATCCTAGCCTCGGGAGCCTGGCTGCGCAGGAGAGGGCAAGTGCAGCTCAGTCTGGGCACGAGGCCAGCCAATCGATGGGTTCCAGGAACCCCCATAAGGCCCCCTTGGCAGAGTTCTCCCTCTGGGGCTTGCTCTCTTTGAACCTCAACATAACCAACCAGAATCTTCTTTTTCCCAAGTGAAGTTACTGCTTTTTCTCTAATGGAAACATAACACTTACTCAATGCCAAAAGTATGCTCAGTGCCAAAAAACCAGAAAATCACAAAGAAATTTAAACAACTATTTATCATCCGACCACCTGCAGATATCACTTGTAAGATTCTGGAATATTTCTTGCTCTCTCCCACCTCCCCACCTCTCTCTCACTCGCTCTCTCTCACACACACACACACACACACATATACATATATATGTCTCATATTATTATGCTTGTTTTCTTATGGCCTGCTTTTAGGTCTTACCACATTTTAAACACTTTGCCATAGTAAATATTTTCCAGCAACAATTTAAAAGCTAAATAGTACTCCGCTATGTAACATGTTTTATTTAAATAATCCCATGGTATTAGGCATTTATTTTTCTATATTAAAAAATAACAATAAACTTTCACCCTTACCTTTGCAATGTCAGATGTTTCCTTAGACTAAAGCAATCGCCAAGTCAAATTAGAGGATTTCTAGGCTTTTGATGTTGTAATATTCCCACAGTGTCTTTCAGAAAAGTTCTACCAATTTATGCTCCCCACTAAGAGGGTGTAAGAATGCCCCTATACCATCTGCTTTTACCTAAGCTTCTATTATCTGTATTTTATTGTCCTTTAAATTGGACGATTTTTTGCCAGATAGGTGGCAATTAAATTATTTGCCAATTAAATAGGTAGAAAAGACTATTGCTAATAAAAACCACAACCACAACATTTCCCAGGCACTTACTATGTACCGGGTACTGTTGTAAAATTTTACGTGTTTGAAGTATATTAACTCCACATAGGAATGGCAAAAATGAGGCACAGGAAGATGAGGTGATGTGTCCACCTGGGACCTGGAAGAGCTGGAGTCTGAAGACAGATAATCAATGGTAGTAGTCTAGACTCTTAACCGTGACACCACACAATCACATGAGGGACTACCAAAAAGAAGGAGAGGAAGGGACAAGATTAACACGTGGTAGAGGGATCACTGAAAACGTATCCTCATCTTTATTCACATGTTCAACGTCACCATTTGTGGTGACGCGGAACATCACCAGCATCGTCCAACCATCAACGTCGTTCAACCACCAAAGTCACCATCACCTAAGTGATGGACACAGTCCTCTGATCCAGCAAACCAAATCTAAACATCGACTCTTAACTTCCCGCTGGCTCACTCACCAAAAAGTTGATTCCATGCTGATTACTCTGGCATGGAACTCTTTGCCTGTTCATACTAATCGCATAAAAGAGAATGGGCTTACTTGTTTTCGGGTGTAAAAAATGATTTGGGATCCAGCCATCCACTGGTAGGTACATATCCCACAGAACTGAAATGGCTGGAATAGATACTCGCACACCCATGCTCACAACAGCATGATCACAATAACCCAAAGATGAAAGAAACCCAAGTGCCCACTGACAGAGGAGTGGATAAACAAAATGTGCTATATACGTACAGCAGAGTATTATCCAGCCTCGAAATGAAGAAAAGTCTGACACATTCTACAACATGGATGAACCTTGAAGACATCATGCTAAGTGAAAGAAGCCAGACACAAAAGGACAAATACTGTATGCTTCCACCTATGTTAAGTACCTAGAATAGGCAAAGTCATGGACAGGAAAAGGAACAGTGGTTGCCAGGGGCCGGGGGTGGGAGGAACAGAGAGTTGTTTAACGGGTACAGAGTTACAGCTGGGAAGATGAAAAAGTTCCAAGACATGGATGGTAGGGATGGTTGAACAGCAATGTTAATGTACTTCATGCCACGGAATTGCACACTTCAAAATAGTTATATATGTATTTCACCAAAAATTAAAAAAAAAAGGATTTGGAAGGTGAAGGGCTGCCTATGAACTTTCTATCTACTTAGGGTGCTTCAGCCACTTGGGCCCTAATCAGATCCTCATAAGCTCTTCTGGGAAATGCTACTCAACAGAAGTTGGGGGCATGGTGCAAATGCTCAATAAAAGATGAAAAAGCCTCCAGAAACACTCAGTCTTTAATTGCAGGGACCAACTTATCTTACGATGCTCACATAAGTGAATAGTCTGGAATACCAAAGGAAAAGCAGAATCAAATAGCCTAAAAAATCACATTTGCTACAGGAATCAAAGAACAAATGGGAAAATGCTCAGGTGAGCTTTCACGAATGACTATGGAGAATAACAAACCACAGGAAAAGGTCTTAGCACAAGCCTGTACATCAACTTAGCTCAGGTCATCGTGGTTAAGAACATCAGATGCAGAAAGACTGCCCATCCAAAAGCCAGCACCCCGTGTCCACCCAGATTTGAGGTGAACTTATTGAGAAGGATACTTCTGGGATTCAGAAAGACAACTTATGGCTAGTCAGCAGCTCACTGTATTCACAAAGCACCACAGAACAGTTTCAAAGACTTACTTTTTCAAGACTCAAATTCAGAAATACCGTCTTTATGACTTGTTTAATAGAGGGTCACTATAAAACCCCAAAAGACTGCTTCATCCCTATGAGACTAAATAAAGTTGTTCTGAAGAAAGGAAAGCTAGAGCTATCAAAGCTAATACATGTTACTACTGCCCAACCTGACACTGGATTAGGGTAGTTAACACAAAGACAAGAGCTGGGCTCCCTTCCCAGGCCACCATCTTAGGTCTTGCTATCTCAAATATAATCCCCTATTGTACAATAAAGAATTTGACTGGTCTTTGTCCCTGGTTCCTAAAAGGGATACTAATTCCTTGGAATTTCCTGAGGAACAGAAGTGTCTTTGTTCTTGACAAGTGCCTTGGATCTCACCTGAGTTTATGCTAAGAGATGAGAAGACTTGGACTAGAAATTGATCACCAGAATGACCAACCATGTGAAGAGAATGCCAGGGCTTTGAGCCTGCCCAGTCCAAAGGGGAGTGGAGGGGGCTCAGACTGATTAATTCATTAGCCATGTGGATGAATTCAATCATGCCCACAAAATGAAATGCTCAATAAAAACTCTGGACTTCAAGCTCAGTGAAGCCTCCCCAGTTGGTGAATATGTTGATGTGCCAGGAAGGTGACACGCCCTAATCCCAAAAGGAGAGGGCATGGACACTCAGCATCTGGAATCGTCTCAGTTCTCCTCTCTCTTCATTTGAATGGTCCTGATTTACATATTTTAGATTAAAACTATAATCCTGAGTATAGTGCTTTCCCAAGTTCTGTGGGTCATTCTAGTGAATTATCAAACCTGAGGGGGTCATGGAACACCTAGGTTAGTAGCCAGTTGAAGTGTTAGGGTCTGGGCACCCCACCTGCAGCTGGCATCTGAAGTAAAGGCAGTCTGGTTGGGGACTTTACCTTTTAATTTATGGGATCGGCACTAACTCCAGGTGGTTAGCATCAGAATTTATTGCAGTACACCATTTGGTGTACCCTCCCCAACCCTGCACGCACACACATTTCCAGTTGACTCAAGTGCTGTACAAGGATTCAACACCCAGCTTCAAATGACATCACTTTTATCTACTAAAATTTATGCCAACTACTACTGACTATAAAGTTTCCCCCACTTAATAGTAACTGAAATGTTTTGAGTAATTGCTATCCCAGACATGGTTCTAAGACCTTCCACGTATATTAACTCACTCACTCCTCATAGGAAATTCATAGGGTAGATACAGTTGTTACTTTCATCTTATAGATGAGGGTGCTGAGGCACAGAGAGGTTAAGGAACCTGCCCAAAGTCACATGGTAGAGGTGGCAGGATTCAAAGCAAGTTCCTTGCCTCTAGAAGCTGCGCCTTAGCCACAAGCCTAGTGGAACTGTCGTGAAACCTGGTCCCCCATCCCTCTGAAGGGCCCTGGGTCAATGTTCTTCTTTATCCCCATTTACTCCCATTCTCCATCTTTAGAATGGGCACATGCTGATTTCCTCGGGGCAAAATGTGTGCATTCTGGTGACAGAAATATCCAGCTTCAACTGTAGCTCAGGAAAACTAACCGAGAAACAGGTTGTCCTGGGGGACATGAATTATTTCCCCGAAAGTCTCTTCCAACAAAAACACAAACAGCTAGAGGGTACTAGATATAAATGAAACTGACAAATTTCACTGCAGTAGATGAATAGATTCAAAGTTGTTCCCTTGCATTATTTCCCCCACCATGGGCAGAACCTCTCCATGATCAACACAAACCCTCTCTCCCCTCTTTTTTCCTATTACTTACATTGTTAAGCATACTTCCTCGTTTTTATTAAGTTGGTATTACAGTCTGATGTTCTCGGTATCTTCAGCATTGCAATTTGAACTTCAGGCGGTCATGGTGGTCATTTTCCTGGTGGAAATTATATAGTAAAGACAACAGCTGATCGTCCTTCTACCTGATGCACTCCTTCAGTAAATATTTTGAGCCTCTACTGCATGCAGGAAAGCACTTAGGCACCAGGCCTCCGCAATAATGACGACAAAGCCTCCCTGCCTGCGAGCATGGTGCTTACACACCAGCAGGAGAGACAAAGCAGCAATAAGTGAGGGTGGGCATGGATGTGCACATGCATACATGTGTCTAATTCCAGGCAATGATCAGTGACGTTTAAAAAAAACAAAAAACAAAAACAGAGTGAGTACAGATGTAAGGGAAGTACAAGATGACGTGTATGGCTGGAGTAAGATCAGCTGGGAAAGGTCGCAGGAGATGAAGAGAGAGAGGCCGGATCTTTCCAACCTGAGGCACCCAACCCCGTGTCACCTTCTCCCTCCCCTCCCGAGTCTATGCCACCAACACCTGTCATCCCTACCTGATCCCTATGCTTGCACCCTTGCTTGCCCCTTATAGTCAGTTCCTCACACAAGCCAAATGACTTGTATAAATACAAATGAGATCAGGTCACCCCCCCTCCCCCAGCTCAAAACTCAGAACACATACAACAGAGTCAGAATGAAACTCACACTGTACCCTGGCCATCAGGGTTCTGTATGTTCCAGCACTACTCGCCTCTCGACTTAGCACCTTGTTCCCTTCACTCTGCACACGCCTTCATGATGGGCCCAGTCTGTCCCCACCTCAAGCACCTCTGGGTGCAATGGCCTCCTCCTGGAGCTCTTTTCGTCATGGACACTGCCTCGACTCCGTCGTCATGCAGCTATCTGCACAAACATCTCTCCCTGAAGTAGCCTTCTGGGCCACCACATCTAACCTAGCACCCAACGTGTGCCCTCTACCCCTTGCCCCATGGGATCCTTCCTCTCCCACATCTCCATCTGACCTATGATTCACCAATTTCTCTACTTCCTTTGTCTTTGTCCACCTCTGTTTCCCCAGTGCCTAGAATGGAGCCAGGTACAAAGGAGGAGCTCAATAAATACATGTCAGATGAAGAAGTGAATGACTTTGATGAAGCCGTCAAACTCATCATCTACGGTCCTGTGCATCCAAGCTGTCTACACCACCTGACCAGAGACAACACACCTCGGATCAGTTCTTATTGGCTGCAAGCTCAGAAGGCAATGTCTTCCATTCCACAGAGAGAGCTGTTCCAATTTACCCTGTGATTCTGATACTAAGAGGACAAGGACACCCGACATAACTATTTGACAACCCAACATTTACACAAAAAGACCCCAAAGAACTTATTGGTTGAGAAGTTTACCCATACTGTGAAGTAAGGAGCTGCCATTTCAAATCCTTTCCATGAGTCAATGGATATACAGAATTTCCAAGGAGGCAGAAAATGTCTCCAGTGCCCACCTTCCATGCACAGACTCAGCCCCCACTCACTGAGCTCCTCTGAGGTGATGACTATGGGCTCGGCCCTGGGAACACAATGAGCCCTAACAGGACTTAGGTCAAGAGGCTTGCAGAGTCTAGTAGAGGAGACAGACAAGACTGGCCATCTTTCAGCCCACCACTTATAAACCTCAATGCTTTGTACTTTAAACCACTGTCGGGGGAAAAAAATGTGTCTGTCCCTACACCTTAGTGTGAGGAATCAGTAACTGAAAGGTGTTCTGCTCTGGCAGGGGTGGACTCAGCCCCCTTAGTGGAACCCAGGTCTGAGTGGAAATTGGGGAGCTCATCACAGATTAGGGAACGGGGAGAGGTAGTGAGAGAAGAACCTCACAGTTACCTGAAATCTCACCCCTAAAGCTGCCTTCAATACTTTCCAGCAGTCAGAACCAACTTTTCCCTGGACAGTGGTAGTAACGTGGAAGACAGGCTCACAGGGACTAACAGAGCCTTCCAACTTGAGGCCTGGGAAAGGGAATGTACTTTTGATGTTTGTAATCCAGAGGCCCTCCAACTTGTGAGGGCAGGAGAGCCCCTACCATTTTGAGCTCCCAGGACACCAGAGAAAATCCTGCAACATGGAACCCCTTCTTCTGAACCAGAACAATCCAACTGACAGGACAGGGCACATGTAGACACAGGCCTCTGCATCTCAGAAGAATGCAGAAAATATTAAAAAGTCCCATCTCTCTTGTTTTCCTGCAGAATTTGTTTTTTCCTCAGTTCTTCATTTCAATACCCACTGGCACTCAATGGCAAGTAAGTCGTGGCCACAGATCTGAGCAGGTTAGGGAAAGTGAGATTCAAATACAGGAAAACTTTACCCCATCGCTTAATGGCTTTTTCTGGGAATGAAAAGACACCTCTATAATGATCTGGGGGCCAAATACCAAAATTACTACAGAAATGAAATAAGGGGCGCCTGGGTGGCTCAGTCGGTTAAGCATCTGCTTTCTGCTCAGGTCATGATCCCAGGGTCCTGGGATTGAGCCCCACATCGGGCTCCTTGTTCAGCGGGGAGTCTGCTTCTCCCTCTGTCTGCCACTCCCCCTGCTTGTGCATGCACGCATCCTCTCTCTGTGTGGTAAATAAATAAAATCTTAAAAAAGAAAAAAAGGAAATAAAATAAGACATGCCACACACACAGCCTTCATTGGGCTGCACAGTAATTTTGTTAAAAATGACAAGTATTTCTTCTAAAGAATGATAATTAATACTGCCTTTACATCACCTGCCTTTTTTTCTTTTTCCTCCCCCCGCCCCACCTCTTTTTTTTTTTTTTTTTTTAGTTTTTCTTTTCTACTGATACTTTCCTGCATTGGCAATTTGGCAATCAGCAAGTGAATCAACATCATCACTGTCAGGCATTTTCTCTGGGAGAGGAACACGTTCATCAACACTTTCCCATACATAGAGGCATTCCCATTTGGAAAACAAGGGAGTGGGGATGGGGTGGGAAGTATTAGAGCATCTTTCCTACGCCATAGCATTCCGGGATTCCCGTGCACCTGATTACAAAGCCACAGGATGAGGTTCTGCCCATACACTCTGGACTTAATACAAATGACTGTAAAACAAGGAAAACTCTCCCTTGCCTCTACAATGCTCGCCCCATAGGCCAGCCTAGCCTTGTCCTTCCCTCAAACATTTCTGAGTACCTCTGTCAGGCACTGAGCACGTGACGATAAATAGGTACAATTCCTGCTCTCAAACTGTCATGGGGAGACAGACACATGGATACATCATGAGAACATGAAAGTGCAATCCATATGTGAGTTCCACAAGTAATCTGTTGAGCACCTGCTACATGCAGGGTATTGTTCTGGATGCTGGACACACATCAGCATACAAACGTGTATACAAGAGAGTATGGGATATACATGGGGTACAGAACAAAGAAGAAACGCCCCTCATCTTATCCAGGAGGATCAATGAAGGCTTCTTTGAAAAAACCAAGCCCAGGAAGGAACCTTGAAAGATAAGATGAGGAAGGCAGAGCAAGGTGTCCCCGACAGGGAGAAGAGCAGAGGCATGAGTGAGCTGTCAGCCACACTGGAGGGCACCATTCCCTGCAGGCCTGGGACACAAGGGGAGGCAGGGGTTGCCAAGTCCAGTCTTGGGCAGCAAGACAAGGTAACCAGGGATCTTGAATGCCACAGCAGGACCCAGGGCCCCCCTGTAGCTGAAGAATGACTTTGGAGGGTCTTGAGCCCAGGAGTGACAGGATCCAATTCCCATCTCAGATAGAACTTCCAGAATTGGCTTTTATTTGCAAGCACTGCCTCTCCTGCATGAGGGGCTTGAAAATGAAAACAAAAACAAAAACAAAACCAGACAGCTTTAGCAAGTGGATATAAAGTTCCAAAGAAGAAGGCATATAGGATTCTTCCCTATTTTGAGAAGATGGCTAGAAACCACTCAGGAGGGAAGAAAGAAGAGAATGTTTTTTATAGACCAAAAAATTAAGTGAGCAAAAAGCAGCTTCCCAGAGACAAACATCCCTGACTTAGCAATTTTGCGAGAACTGTTCGTTTTCATCTCTGCTGGGACTAAGAGAAGCTGCGTGGCAAACACTTTTCACGTCTTGTGTGGCCTGCTGCCACATAGCACCTCAGCAGGAACCACACCAACCTCCCGAATTGGCCGCCACAGCTCATGGTGAATGAGCCAGCCACTGACAGATCCAGAAACCAGTGAGAATACATATTCTCACCACAGATGATGGTTGCAGAGAAGGTTATTTTTTACTAAATAATACTTTTATGTTAATTTAACAGCTCAACATTCCCAAGGGCCTTCAAACTAAATATTGATTTCCTCCCACTACATGGAGGGCAATTTCAGACCCTTGTGGCCCAAACTTCAACTATTAAACATCCCATCCATTCTGTCTCTATAGACAAGACACGCTTACTACTCAGAAAATGGTAGCGTGAATACATCAAAGCCATAAAATTGCATTGCCATGTTATGGCTCCCAATCTAAATCCAATTATAAGCTTCTCTACAGTGTATCCAACTTATTGACCACACTATAAGCTTATAAGCTACTCTAGCTTCAAATGGACTGGATTACTTCAATACACAAATTCCAACTTAATGTCCATACAATTATCTGCCTTCCACACAAAACTCTAAAGCCCAGCAAGTGACATAATTAAGTTCCTTGTGTTCTTCACTACCGAAGCCAGCATATTAAATGTTACTACCCTGAAGGCCAATGCTTCTGTGAGTGAAGCCACACATGAGCTAGACTGGAAATTTTTGTTAATCTACCACTCAAAGTTACCAAGATGTTTAAGTGCCACATTTTGGAATATTTCAAATGTCTCCAGTCACCATCAAAATCGAGAGAGACGGGTTAAAATTAGTCTTCTCTTTATGTACCGTATAATGAATTCCATTTATGTAACATCCAAAAACAGCACAACTGATCTGTGCTGTTATAAGTCAGGCCAGTGGTGATGCTGGGAATGGGGGTGAATGGAAATCTCAGCTAGAACGGGGGCACCAGGGGGGTGCCAGTTATTGTTCACGTTTTGTTTCTT